GATAACATTGTTCCATCTGAGATTCCTAGTCCTGTCACAAGGTCTTCATCCAAACATCTAAATGCTAATTAAGTGCTGGCACACTCAGCCGTAGGTGCTTTCATCACATATATTTGAAGTGTGAACATGATGCATATGCTCTCTCCTCTCTGATGTTGCTGCTTTAAAAAAGAAAAAGAAAAGATGTACTGTACAAAGGCAGGTTTTTGAAATGAACGAGTGGAGCCAACAATGAGATTTCCACTTGAGCAGTGTCCGGCAGAATGATAAACGAGGTGGTAGACTGGGGGATTGCAGTGGTTTAAAGTTGGAACAAAACAGCCATGAGTGCTGTACACCTCTTTTCTTAATGCTGTTTTCTGCACATACATACACACACACATGCAAGCTCCATGTGTTTATCTGTGTGTCTAATTCGGCACATAACCAGGCAGTGTGTGGGGTGGTGAATGTAGGCTGCAGCTCTTAAGAGTACATAGCGTGCGTTCATACGTGTGCATGCACTTGAATGTGTGTGTGTGTGTGTGTGTGTGGTTTTTATGATAGCACTGTGTGGGTATATGAGTGTAAAAGGGAACGGAATAGACTCAATTTAAATCAAATTAGCATGCAGGCAAATTAAGCAGAGGGATTTAATTTGAGCTGTTGTAAAAATGCTAATTCCAGTACAGCCCGGAAGCTCATATGCAAATACAACACTATTTTACAATAATTCATATTAGGTCGGGCATGCATAAAACACACATATTACAGCCTGATGTCATCTGGGGAACAGAGTATCATTAGCTCTCGGACTTGCTGCAAGGTGATCGTGTTTAGGGGGCGTGCGTGCGTGCATGTATTTGGGACTTTCATTCATCTTTACTCTGCTATATATGATAACATTGTGTTCATTTATTGGCCGTGCATATGTGTGTGTGTGCATGCAGGTTTAGGGTTGGGGTTAGTTGTTCATGTCAAAATGCGTCCTCCTGTTTTTTCGTTTTGTTTTTTTGTGCGGTATTATATCATAACACCACAAGAAACTGTGGTGACCATCATCTGCATTCAACTCGCAGTGTTGTCAACCAAATCACCACTTATAGAGCCAAACATTAGAGTCCAATTTTAGCTCAGGAAAAGAGGAGAGAGGAAAAAAACGTCTCTGATTACTGAGCAAACATTAAAACGTGACAGTTTTTGAGTTTTTCTCAAAAAGAAAAGAAAATGTGCTGCTTTCGTCCCATGTTGCTCAAGAGCATCGCACATACAGTAAATTCAAGGCCTGTTGACGCAGTGAGCGTGCTCCTGTATACACCGCTGCCTGTGAATAAGCATAGGTGAGAGAAATTGGGTTCGGGTGTGAACATCTCAATGTTCAGAGAGGCTGGTGGAGCCTGTCGATACCCATTTGACGTGTTAAAGCGACGCGTGCTGGCTCCCAGGGACCCCCACCAGTAATGGGAGGAATCAGTTAAAAGCTATTCAACCCAGGGGTTTAACATGGTCCAGCACAGCAAGTGGTGTGAAAGGCTAAAGAGTGTTTTTTCCCCACAGATGTAACTCAGCATATTGTCAATCAGAATGTTTTTTAAACTGTTGGTTTTTCTTCCTATAGTTTGTTCATTGAGGACAGAAATGTCCCACAACAGTCAGCAGTTTTCACTTTTGCAGATCAGCCTGTTCTGGAAGTGTAGCTCAATCATTAAGGGCTGATGTGTGGAAACTGTAGCTCAATCACAAAAAGCCTGTGGGATTTTTTTTTTTTTTACTTCTAACACCAGGTTTGTTTTTGCTCCATGAAACAGTCTATCACCTGAGTTATTTAGTCTCGCTATCCACACCAAAGCCCTAGCCAGATTTATTCCTGCCCAGGTGGAAATGTTAAACGCTTCCTGCTCTCCTCTAATCCTCGACGTCTTTCCTTTTTGCATTACTGTTTAGCGAAAGACACAGAGGAATTGTTTGTCGGCTCCCTGCTCTTCCTCTCTCGCCCCTCTGTCCCCTTGGCTCACCGGGGACAATTATGCCCCTCTTTCAAACGATTGCCAAGCCCAATTTGCCACACAAATTAAATGGGCTGCATTTGAAGAGTGAGGGGGACAGGGTGAAGGAGAAAACCAGAGAGAGAGAGACAGGGAGCTACAGAGAGAGAGGGCCCAACACAAAACAATGACAGATTGAAAACACAACAACGGACCAAAAAGGAAAAACATAGCTACATAATCCTTTACAAGGAATTTTGAATCTGTTATCTTCCTCCAAGCTACATGCAGGTCTCATTTGGTAATAACCCAACTGACGCATCAACAGAAATGTGTTTATTCTGGGGCCTGATTGGCATTTTCCTTGAGAGAGAGAGAGAGAGCCATAGTGTCCACTGTACGGGGTAGCGAGTAGGACTGGCTCTGAGGACCGTGCCATCTGTTGAGCAGGCCGACTCAGCCATTTTCTGCTCTCACATGTCTCATATCCTCCACCATATCCACAGCCGAAGGCCTGCTCACACCCAAATGGATCCAGAGCACCAACAGAGGGCAGCTTTCTCTTTCGGAAATGCAGGCGGATTTTTTGTGCCGAGGGGTTAGTCTGGAGCGGACTAAACGGAGGTCTATTTGGTCCGGAGTGCAATTCACAGATGGGGAGAGAACCCCAGAGTGTCTGGGCTGCCTATGAATATGCAGTGGCACAGTAGAGGAAATTAAAGACCTTCCGAGTTGCTGGAAGGGGCTGTTGCACTGCTTCCAAACAGCAAGGGGAGAAGGTGGGGAGAAGACAAAAACACAGGCGGAAAAGCAGCAGAAAGAAAATGCCCAAATAAGAAATGAGGGGAAAATTGGCAATTAGCAAGAAAAACAATGGAAGGGAGTTGGGGGGGGAACAACACGTGCATGTGGGAGACCAAGGAGAAAACAGGGCAGAGATAAATCCCAGGGCTAATGTGTACGGCCTAAAGTGGTTCTGGCTATGAACAGCCACTTGCCGTCAAACCTCAGTCACAGACGGGACACACGCGCGTGATCCCCGTGAGCTCTCTGGCTCCCCCCACCCCCCAATCATTAACACACAGCCACTGTGGCTACCTCTTGATAAGTTTGTTTTGGCTTTGAAATGATGACCCGGCACAGCTGTCCAAGAAGGGTAGGGGGGCATCAGCAGCTGCTAACAGGCAGACGGCTGTAAGGACGAAGTTGATGGGAGGGGGGGGGGTGTTTATGGGGGATGGTGAGCACAGAGGCGTCAAGATTTGGGGGCTGCTGACTGCACCAGCGAAGGTTTCTATTACACAAGTGCTCCAATGTGACTGGAATGTCTGGACACGCGAGAGAGTGGACGTTCCGTGAAGACAGTTGTCTGAGGGAAGATTTTGGCAATGGTAGGTTTTTTTTTCACATCGAATTCTGTCATGTAAATTCACGCTAGGCTGTGGAGGGGGAGAGTCTCCGAGAGTAGAGCTACTAAAGAGCCCCCCTCAATGCTAACGTTTATCGACCGTTAATGTCGTTTTGGGAAGGTCCCGTAATTATATTGTGTCAATAAATTCTAGAGCTGCACATAAAACGGGGAATAAACGGAGAATACATTTCTCCATTTGCCGCTCCCCTGCTGTGAGACATATGTGGCGGGGGCCCGAGAAGAAAAATAAAGCACATTTGAACAGATTGCAGGGAACATTTCTCAAGCACAAAGTTGAAAATCTCGCCCATCAATTTCACTTTGCGCGGCTCCGTTGTATATGACCTTGGGTGAATGATCCCTTCATTCAGAGATATTCAGCTGAACTGAGGGGCTTCAGTCGGCGCAAAGGGAGCAATAAAACTTTTATTCATCCCTCTGTGACTCCAGAGGCTAATGATTCATGGATCTTAGTGTAAAAAAAAAGAGAGGACGGCAAAAAGGGGGTGATGCTGCGGTGCAGGACCATGAGCTCAATGAGGTTTGAAAACTGTTGTCACACATCAATGGGCAGGTGTCTGGTGTCAAGTAACTCAATTCCAATGACTTCTCATCATGAGATTCTTGGCTGAGGCCCATTTCTGGTTCACAAGACAGTTTCTCGTGGCAAAAAAAAAAGGAGCTGGAAAATAGAGACTTGAACAGATTTTGATGTTTTTGTGAGAGATGGATGACGGTGAAATATGAGTGTGTGTGTGTGTGTGTGTGTGGGAGGAGAAGCACAACATGTCAATAAGATTACAACTTACCAACAGCCATGCTAGATTGTGAACCTGCATTTTACATATGCTAAAATCCTTCACTTTAAATGAATCTATTAGACCCCACAATGAATGACTGTATATGTATTTATTTATCTCTAATCTATCTCCTTATTTTGAGTGATTTTAATTTAGATTTACTCACTTGGTTTAACAATGTTAAACATAACCTAATACTTTTCTAATATTTGGACAAACTCTTCCTGAATCAACAAGTTGGTGTTTTGATATTATGAAATGTTCAGGTTCCAGGTTAGCCAGGATGCCACGCCCTCTTGAGTATAAAAACATTGTTCATATCTTTTTTCTTAAATCATACTTCATTGAACATCAGACTTTTAGAATCAAATTAATTTTATTATTATGATTTTTGAGATGAGGGGAAATTTGATATTTTTTCATACATTTATTAATACAATTTGGTTTTTCCTCCCATAATTTGAATTCCTCTAAAAGCAGCTATTCAAGGGAAGTGATGTAATGAAATTTAAAATCTAAATTTGAATTTGTGATACCTAAATAAAGTAAATATACGAATTTGGTGAGAGATGAACATCCTGTATGAGTGGTGGTAATATGCCCCCCAGTGTGTCAGCAGTCTTATGACAGTACGTACCTGTGTGTGTGTGTGTGTGTGTGTGTGTGTGTGTGTGTGTGTGTTTTTGTGTTTCATGAAAAACGTTACTGTATTTGTTGCATCTGATGATCAATGTAAAAGCAGCAACACAACCAATTCGCCAGCCCTCCCCAACCCGGCAGGACACAACACTTGAGGCCCCACGTGAAAGCCAACGGTCCACTTACTTTGAGCGTCGGCGAGGTGGAGGAGCAGACCCAGGACAAGCAGCAGCGGCAGCAGCAGCGTGGGTCTGGCTCTGTGCATGGTGGGACAGCTTGGCACCAGCATGCTTTGGCAGCCTCGGTGGCACTGGCTCACAGAGTCCTGTGAGTCAGTCTGGTCTGATTTCTCAGATGCAGGGTATTCACAGCCTATGCAAGGCAAGGAGGGAGAGGGAGAGGGAAGGAGAAGGGAGAAAAAAAAAGAGAAAGCGACTGAATGAAACAAAGCTGTTTGGCTCCACGGGTTTTATCTATCCCTGCACATTTTTGACATACCCCCACACAGCCTCGGCTAGAGCTGACAGAGGATAGGAAGAGGCTGATGTGCTCACGGGGTATGTTCTGACAGTTCTCTAAATGGAATAGTCACTTCACACAATGTGGGTGCATTTGTGCATGAGAGGGAGAGAGATAGTGAGTGCAAGAGAGAGAGAGAGAGACAGAAACCACACTGATGAAAGAGCGAAGTAATAAGATTTTGTCTTCACAGCTTTGGTCGCGAGCACCAATTAAACAGCGCCGCATAAAAAGACATTGTTAGACATTCGACGTCCCCCTCAGATCAGTGTGGATATGTGTTTCACATGAGACACGGCTCATCACATGTTACATGATAGGATAGTCAGGAAATATTCCGAAATGCTGAGAGAGACAGCTATTTCATACTTCCTCAGTTGGGAGTTAAATTTGACAACTTATGGGACGGCTGAGAATTTTCTTTAAAAGCAAAATACAAGATGTAAATGCTGTGATATAAGGTACAAGATTAAAAAAAGCAATTAATCTTAAGCACAAATTCATGCTTTTACATCACATTTATTCCACAGTAGATGTTTGATTAGCTGTAGGTGAGCATACAAAGTGACACACACACACACACACTCTCACACACACTGTCTTTTACCCAGCGCTGCTCAAACAACAAATAAAAGACTGTTGAGCCATTCATGTTTTCAGCCTTTTACCAACAGGGCCACGACACGGCTGTGAAAATCAATGTGATACAGTGAGCTAGTATTAGCTGCAGACTGGATCTATCCCTTGTCATCCATTTGCTTAAGCCCAAGCTTGATCCTTAGTGATGGATGCTCTGCGGTAGTCTTCGGCGCGTAACGCGGCTCTCGGCTAATCCTAGTGTGTGAGCTTTGATGACATACTGTACTGCTGGTTAGTATGCAAGCGTGTTCGCCTGCGTCGTCCTGCAGGATGCTGTTGTTTCAGCTGCGGGGGCTGGTCGAGGCAGAGCGGGTCATGGTTTGCGTCCCGTGACATTTTAGAGATCAAACACGCGCACAGAGTCAGATCTCTTGAAGTTTGGGAATTCTGCAGTTTTGGTCACTGCTTATTGACGAGTCAGCAACTGTGCATGTAAATGCTTTTGCTAAAAATAGTATTTACTGTTTATCTGCAGATATGGCCGCCTCTCGATAAAAGAAAAAAAAAAAAGGGTAAAACAAACCCCCTAAGCCCAATCAGTAGGCCCGATGATGACTAAGTACCTCATTTCCCTGTTACCAATCATCCTCTTTCTTGCTCCTGGCGCTCCCTCTTTGATTTCTGTGGGCTGTAAATGGCAGGAAAGACGGGAAGATAGCACACCTGTCACACTCGATTTGTGTTGGGGGGAGATAGACACGACTACCTGTCTCCGAGCGCTGCAGGGCGAGCAGCTAGCGCAGCAGCAGGGGGACGCGTGGCGAAGGGAATCAATTTGAGGCAATCTCTTCCCCTTGCTCACGCCACCTCCGACACACGCGCCTCTTACAAACACAGATCCCAATACATATACATACATCTGAGACAGATATGAGATATTTTCACATGGGTAATGTTTGTAGCGACTGTGGATTTGATTAGAATCAACTGGACTGAAGAAACCTGAGCGGAGGGATCTGTAGGTACCTCTGTCCGTCTCCTCCACTGATAGTTTTAAGCATCTACCCCTCCAAATCTAAATGATAGCCTTTGTGTTAATTAATGAAGTGTGGATTTTCCATAATGACATGACATTAGGCGGCGCACAAGGAGCAGTACTCTGCAGCCCCCTCCCCTCCCCCCCTCTCTGTCCATGGCCACCGTGGACACACACGCAAGCTGATGGAGGCAAACAAAACCATCTGCATGTTGTGTAACCAGCAGTGAGGGAGGCCACCAAGAGGCTGTGCCATGTGAGTAAATACAAGGAGAAGCTAATGTAAGCACAGGTAAACCCCCCCACCCCTGAAGTCCCAAGAACAGTTAGATTTAGTGTTGATTTGCGGTGTTCATTTCAAATAATAAATTGCCCCGCAGATTACGTACTGATGTGCTAAGAGACCTGGCAGAAATGCTGCAGTTTCCCCGGTGCATTGTTTTCCGACAATGGATTTAGCCTAAATAGTGTCGCTTTTTGTTTGAGAGCTTGTGCATATGAATGCATGTGTAATTACATGTGCTGCATGTGCATGGGGTTTAAATGATCCTTTCCATTTCCATTAGTCCACATGAAAAGACTGCCTCAAAGGCGGCACCACCTTTGCCCATTTCATCCTCAACATGGCCGTCTTGCGTCGCACCCTGCGTCTTTACACTTTCACACATTTGGTGGCACCGATGCCTCCCATTGAACGCTCATTACAATGGAAAGAAAAAACAATCTCGTCTTTCTTCCTGAGCCCCCGGTTGGTATTATTGTGTTCCCATTCACTGGTGCTTCATTCAAAGGATTTTGCTGCTGATAGCAATCATGCATTATTAAACAAAGCCTGACAACATGCACAATGTTAATTAGAAAAGGAGGGAGTGTGTGGCAAGAAAAAGAAAGGGGCTGTTGAGCTGTCTACTCTCTCTCTTTCCCCATGATCCTTATCAGAAATGTGAAAGAGAAGGAGGGAGGGGAGGGATGTTTATATTCTCCATAATGGCCGGTCTCCACTCTCATTCGAGCAGGCGCGTGTTTTGTATTCCGGTCTATTTGGAGAAGAAATATTATTAAGGCGAGGAAAACAAAAGAATCATTCATATTTATCTAATATTCAAGCCATAGCGCAATAAACTTGTAATGGGAGAAAATGCATGCAGAAGCTCTCCAAAGCAGAAGGTTCACTACATCAGCTTCACACCAAATGTGTCCTTCCATATTCTCTCGCACGCTTCATATCTTGAGAAAAGCAAGTATGAAACAGTGGGAAACAAATGCTGACATGAGAACGCTACTGATTGTGCCATTTTTAACAAATTCAATATGGGGTTTGAGATTAGCGGTTGTACCACATTATGCTCATCCTTCGTGCAAGTTGACTAATTTTACTGTGGCCAGCTCCAGGGAACTTTTAAAACGGGGTGTTTTTAATTTCAGGCTCATGCACAAACTGAATTGAACTTCAAGGAAACAGTGGAGTTACGGTATGTTGTCCCAACAGACCAAAGCAGCCACAAAAATGCCACTAAATCTATTAAGGCCAGTCCCTCTGTAATTAGCCCAACACATGCAATGACAAAGCACGGCAAAACAAGCGAGGATGTGATCCATACTGCATTTGCGTTGTTCAACAAAGTTGCAGAGTGTCGTACCCAGCCAGGCAGAGCAAATAGGAATTTGCTTCATTTTATGAGGCTGGACTTTCCATTTTCCTCTGGAGCAGCCGAGTTAAAGAATGCAGTAATTACCCCCCACATGCACACTTTTAAACTACAGGGTTATATATGCAGGGTTATAGCCGTGAGCACGCAGGGTCGGCTGCTGTGTTAGTACTGCGATGATCTCTGTGATCCCTCTTTTAGATTTTGCCCTGATGTTGAAGCCTTGCTCTCTTTTTGGTATCAGCGAGAGGAAACAAGGTGGAAGGAGTTGGGGCAGAAGCCGGTTCAAACACCTTCTATTAGCTGTTGACATAATACGGATTTAATGTGTTCTTCAACGTAACACCCTGCTGAGGGCGATAGAGTTGACATTTGTGTATGAATATGAATGTAGCATTGGAGAAGAGTTATCTGACATTGTAAATTTGGATGAACCATTAGTTTAAAAAAGTAGTATGGTACAAAGATGGTATATAGCACTGATTCCTCATTGTGGGCCGATCATTTTCTTTCCTAATATATTGTTGAAGCAGTTCAGGCTACATAACTTTATTGATTGTTTTAAATGCATCTTTCACAATATATAGTAGTCAGGGATTATATCCCAAATGCTACATTTTAAAAACTACATTTATTACTAATGTAGAGTTGTTTGATAGTAACCAGAAAATAAATAAATACCTAGTTGTATTATTTAGCATATTTGTTCAGCAAATGTTGCAACTAATTGGTCTTTTGAAAATACTGTCTTATGTTTTGACTTACTTTAAATTCTGGATGCTTTAAAGTAGGAGCGAACATATCAAATATTCATTAAAAAACATATCTCTTCTTTTTGTCAACCTGTAGCTGTCGTTGACCTGCCCTCTTCGCTTTTTTTCCCTCACTCTGAGAACTTGGACAGCCGTTCTCGCTGCATCAATCAAATATCACTTCAGTAATACACTCAAGCGCTGCAGGGCGTACACACCAGTTGTATTAAACTCAAGGTCAAAGGGCAAATAAAAGGGCCCAGGTTTCTGTGCTCTATTTCTCCTCGTTCTGCAGAATTGAAGAAAGTGAAACATGGCTGCGTGTGACACGCACCCACTTGTGGCGCCCCAGGTTTTTTTAATTTTAAAAAAAAATATTATATGACCAGATTTATAAAAATAAGCTCATCAAAGGCATACAGCACATCCACATACATCACCACCCGCCCACTTCCTTTTTAAATCCCCACCTCCCCATCAAGAGAGGTTAGGGTTGGGTTAAGTCACAACATGTTTTACATGCTAGCTGCAGCCGTCTTTTATCTTTTTTTCTGTTCCTCTCCCTCCGCCACCACAGTATAAAGTCTCTCCTCGCTTCATAAAGCTCCATTCTCATGCACGATTCTTTTTTTCGTAACCACTCTTCCCTTGTGTTTTTCTCTCGTCTGTTTTTCCCCTGTTTTTTTTGGGTTTTTTTCCTCCACAGCTACTTTCTTCTTCTGCCCGTGATGGTGTGATTTAAGACCGAGTGACAAGGCCGTTTCTCACACATCGCTCCCGATCAGCCGGCATGTGTAATACCATCCCTCAAGCTAAGCTAAGCTATGCCCTCAAGTG